ACACTGAATACTTAGGTATAAATCTCATACAATTGTGTTAAGATCTGTGCACTGACAGCTACAAAATGCTGATGAAAGAAATCAAAGACTATCAGAACAAAAGGAGAGATGCTGTGTTCATGGATTAGAATAGTCAGTATTATTATATCAGTATCACAGAGAACGGACATAGTGGATCTCTGGCAACTTGCTGCACTGATGGATGGTGACTGCATTGGGGTATCGGTGGGGACTTGATAATATGGGTAAATGTAGTAACCACATTGTTTTTTCATGTCAAACCTTCATAAGAGTGCATATCAATCATACCTTAGTAAAAAATTAAAAAAACAATTATTATATCAGTTTTCCCCAAAACTGGTATATATATTCAACACAATTACAGTGAAATCCAAGCAGGACTTTTCATAGAAACAGAAAAGGTATATTAAAGGAATATGGAGTGGCAATGAAAGAGAACAGCTGAAAAATTTTAAAAGGAACTAAGTTTGAAGGCTCACACTGATTTAAGCCTTACTGTAAAACCACTGTAATCAAAACAGTGTGGTACGAATAAAAAATTATATATGGATTAATGGAACAGAGCTATAGATGAATAGAGCAAAATGCACCCACATGTGTGTGGTAAATTAGTCTTTAACAAAGGCAAAATGGTCATTCAATAATGAAAGACATTCTTTTCAGCAAATGCTGCTGAAACAAGTCAACAACTGCTTGGAAAAATTTTTTTTAACTTTATTCATTTCTTTTAGCACATTAAATTAACTCAGTGTGGCTCCCATACCTAAATGCAAAACATGAAACTAGAAAACATCTTGAGAAAGCATAGGAGGCAATCTTTGAGACCTTGAGATTAAAATTTCTATGACACAGCACCACAGTGTGATCCATTAAAAAAATGTTAAGTTGAATTTCATTAAAATTAGAACTTACTTTCTTAGAAAGGCACCAGTAAGAGAATGAAAACCCAATACACAGACAGGGAGAAAATGTTTACAAATCACACATCTGATAAAGAACTTGTACCCAGAACATCTACAGAATTATCAATAAAAAATTGGGGGGGAGGTAGTGGGTAAAAGATTTGAACACACATTTTTCTATGTGTGTATATATATATATATATACATATATATATACAGATATAAATATATTTGGATAACAAGCATATGAAAAGATTCACAAAATCATTAGTCACTAGGCAATTTCAAATTAAAACAATGAGCTATCACTACATCAAGATTAGTATTGTGGGTTGAGTTTGTTCTCCTTGTTTGTTTTCCCCACCAAAACAAAGAATTGAAAGGCAGAGACACAGTGGTGAAGCAGAGAGAAAGTTTGATTTGAATAGGCTCCAAGGGAGGAGCAGGCCAGAGTCAAGATGGACAAAGGCCTGGATGTATTAAGAAGGAGGCCTTTTTATTACATTCTGGCTAGTAGGCACCACTTGGATTGACAAGGTGAGGTCATTTGATTGATAGGTTCATTTATATAGCCTCCCTTCTCAGTGCACATACCCTTTCCCAGAATGCACACAGAAAAGCCTGTTGGGGAGGGGGGTGTGCAGAAACCACAATGTTAATGAGATTATGAGGAGGTGTGGTTGGGGCAGTACTTATTTGTTCAATTGCGCCTGCATTGTGGTCTGGTTGGGACTTTTTTGGCCTGGTTCCAAAAGCAAGGTAGTTACCTCCCTGCAAAGTCTTTGTTGTCCTCACATGGGTCCCCCTAAATGGGCAGGGTTTGGGTGGTTTTTTCCCTTCAACCCTCCCCAGCTGCTCATGCCTGTCTTTCTACCTAACATTCGGATGTCTAAAACTGAAATTCTGACAATCAGGATGCAGACCACCTGGAATTTTCTGGTTACTGGTGGGAGTGAAAAATGGGACAGCCCCATTAAGACATGGTTTGGCAATTTCTTATAAACGTCAAATACATTTACCAGATAGACCTAGCCATCCTAGTCCTAGGTATTTATTCAAGTGAAATGAAAACATATATTCACACTGAAATCTCTAAATGGGTGTTTGTCCAAAACTTATTAAAAAGCAAATATCCTTCAACTGATGAATGGATAAACTGTGTTATATCCATAAATGGAATTCTACTCAACAATGAAAAAGAATGACTTACCCATGCAACAATGTGTATGAATCTCTACTGCATTATGCTAAGTGAAAGAAAGCATACTCAAAAGGCTACATATTGTACAGTTTTATTTATATGACATTCTGGAAAAGGCAAAACTGTAGACACAGAAAACGGGGAGAGGTGTTCACTCCCAGGGAACAGGAGATGAACTATTTCTGGGAGTGATGGGACTTTTCTATATGTTGATTGTGGTGGTAGCTACACCACTGTATGCTTTTGCCAAAACTCTTGGACGTGGTCATCACTAAATGTGAACTCCATTGTACGTAAATCATACCTTAATTTAAAAAATCAACTAAATTAGAAGGACAGAAAAGAAGAAACTAGGATTTTAGCCAGGGTAACACAACACACACACATAAGCACTCGCACTCACATATACAATCTAAGAGCACTTACAAAGAAATATTTAAATTAAGTGCACATTCATGTACAGTAATATGAGTGGCATCCACAGATGCCCTAGCAAAACATTAAACCAATGGCAAGTATTTCTTGTGATAAAAATCATAACTGCTGAGACTTTTTCATAGTCTGGTTTAATTTTTCCCCAGTTTCCAGATAGAAGTGCCCTGTGATACAGACTGAAAAGCCTAACAGATTCCACATCAAAATATGGATTAAAAAATACTTTCAGAATGTATTTGTACTTTTAAAATTAATATATGTTGATTCCTTGAAACTTAGTGACTCATATAAAGAGTATTTAACTTTAGTTTTAGGCAAGAAAGCAGTGACTAATGCATATTTTCTATTTGATGACTTTCATGTAGTCTTTTTGGCTTTATCCTCACTGTAGATGGGGAATGATAGGGGAATTTCATGATTGCTTTTTCCATTTGGGACGGAGGTTATAATATTTGTATATTTATGTTTTGCTCTGACTGTGTAGAGAAAATGAATTTTTATATCTTCTGGATAGGGAATAAAATAAAAATAGCATAAAATAAAACCTGAATATAATTAAATCAGTTGTGCCTGGAGCATTTTGTAAAATTTTGGAATGTCATATAGGCTAAACACAAGTTAACCTAAAGGAAATCCTTTTCATGCAGATTATTTTCATTTGAGTGGGACTCCCGATTAGAGGAATACTCTTTATAGGAAATTGTCTTATGGAGAAACAGTAGAGCATTTTAGAGAATTGCCTTGTGTGCAGAACACCAGATCAGAGACAAAGAGCTGCATTTATGGACAAATCAATCCCTAAGGAGACTTAAGATTCGAAAAGTCCATTTGGTAACTATACAGACTGAGGATGAGAAGCATTAATGAGGACCTGCCCATCACTTGGCAGGCACTGAGCTGTACAGTATAAAATGGGACATCCATCTGGAATTTGTCCAGTCTCTTACAAATAAAATGGGTAGGTATTAATGGTCCCATTTTGCAAACAAAGAAACCAACACCCAACAAGGTAACTAAATTGCCTAAAGCCATATAGACAGCGACAGAATTAGGAAGTAAATCCTAGGCTACCTAAGGCAAACATGCTTTGTTAGGGAAAGATACATTTCTGAAGGGGGTGTCTAGTTACTAGAACTCAGAGAGTCCAGAATAGCACTGTCCACTAGAAATAGCTTAGCCACAAATGCAAGCCATATATGTAATTTTAAATTTCCTAGTAGCCCCATTTAAAAGGTAAAATAGGTGAGATTAACTTTCTTAAAACATGAAGAATATATTTTATGTAACCCAGTATATCCAAAATGTTAACATTTCAACATGTAATTAATTTAATATAAAAAAATTAAGGATATATTTTGTATGCTCCTCTTTAAACTGATTCTTGGACATCCAATGTGTATTTTATACTTACAGCACATTATAATTTGGGCTAGTCACTTTTCAAGGGCTCATTTGGCGTCCGGGGCCAGTGGCTAGAGTGTTGGGCAGAGCCCTTCCAGACTCAAAGAAGGCCTAAGGCGGCGCTTTGGAATTGGGTGGGCGGAGACATACTGACGTAAGCACTGGCCCTGCAGCATCTTGTATGGACTCCAAGGTGGTGCCAACAGAGAACCTGAAAGGTAACAGAAGCTGCCGGGGTATGTAGAAAGTCAGGAAGTGTTTTATGATTTACTTTATTGCCAAGCTAAGAAGCTGAGGACTCTAAATAAAGCAGTGACGGAATCAGCAAGTCCTCTCGTACTGAGGACTGATGCCATGAGAGGCCAATGGGTTAGCTTTAAGACCCGTGGCTGGGGGGGCATTTGGAATAGAAGCCTATGTGGGAAACTGTTCCCACTCCATTATGCCAAAGGACACCAGATCAAAGATAATGGTAGAGAACAAGTATTCGTGGTAGGCTCTGGGCCAAAATGAATTGAACTACCGAAATCTTGGACCTTTGCAAAGTCTGTCCCTGCGGGACTGGAACCAGGTGACTGAACAATGACAGCTGAATTAAAATCAAATGTTCTTGTCCATTATCTTCAAACCACTTGGCCCTGGGGAAAAAAAATAACGGAAATCTACCCTTAAGGCTAAGATTGTCCTTGAACAATGTAATTTCTCCTTTCTAGACAGTCTTACTCTTTTAGCCTGATTTGATCTGTGTCAAAATATTCAGAATGATAGGAACATTATGATTTTACTAGTCCCTACTCTTGCCCTTTCGGTAGAGAGGGTTTACATGTTTTGACTACAGATTATCTGGTTATCTGCATGACATTTAAAGTTGCATATCTAACAGGCATCTCAGACTTTGTATGGCATGCCTTTCCTGCCACTGCGTATGTCCACCTGCAAACATCCCCAGATTACTAAACTTGAACACCTTCAACCGAGGTGTTCAAGTGCAAACACCAGGAGCTAAGTTGTTTTTCCCCATCCCATTTCCCATTCCTCACCTCTGGCCCATAAGCAAAACTTGTCAACTTGTCCAAAATCCATCTGGAATTTGTCCAGTCTCTTAGTCGTCACCATCTCTCAGGCCACCACTGTCCCTCATCAGGACCGGCTACAGTACCTCCTGATTGGCCTCCCAGCTTCAACTCTCCCCCACCCCCTTCATTCTTCAAAGCAGCCAGAGTCACTGACTTCACAAGGTTTTATTCTACTTAATATTTAACATCGTGAGTTTGACCTACAGCCTCGACGCTATTTTTCAGTCCTTCTACTGAGATAAATTTGGGGTTTTGTGCACTGTGTTACCTTAGTGGAAGAAAGGGTACGATTGAAGGGAAAACCTACTTTCTGATGTTTTGGAAGGTGAATGTGCATGTCCAGCATGGTGACCTGGGAAGGCCTTCCCGAGTCTACAGGAAAGGCTGCCTAAGGCTCAGGTACACTTTCCACTGTTGCCCAGGGCGAGTTTGTCAAAGAGATACTCTGTCACACCCGCTTCTAGGACCCAGAAGCAACAACTGTTAACACACGTACATGGTAGTAAGCTAAAGGTTCTCAGGTAAAGGTGAAGACTTCCCTTTATTTTAATCCCCACCCAACCCCATTCTTCACTTCTTCCTTAGAGGCAACCACTGTGTTGAATTCTAGACCCTGGGTTTTTCTACTTCCACCATGGACATGCACCCACCTTCATCAGGGCCCCAGACCACCCATCTCACCCACCTCCGCCCCCCTACCCCCACCCCCTTTATAAGGGGAAGATGGATTTTGTGTTCTCCCGGGTCCATGGAACACCTTCTTCATCCAGGCAGATCCTGAGGTGCACATGGATGGGGAGTGGCTGTGTGGACAGACTCCTGAAGACCTGTTTTAAAACTTAAAAGGGGGAGGCTTTGGCGCACGGAATCAACCAGAGACCTTTATTTATTTATCAGGAACCAAATAACTTTACTGGGAGAAATAGCAATACTGGAAGGAAAAACTGAAGTGAATGCTCGGCAAGGGCAGTCTTGCAATAAGACCGCCTGGTGTGGTGACCAGGGAAAAGTGGCCGTGGCTCTGGGGAAGGCAGTCCCCTCAGTTCTTGTCGCTGTCGCCCAGGGTGAGCTTGTCAAAGAGGTTCTCTGCAGAGCTGGCTTCCGGGGCCTCCATCCTGCGCAGGCTGGCGAGATGGTCCTCCAGCTCTCTGACAGCCTTGACCTGGTGGTGCAGGTGGTGACGGTGCAGGAACTCACACAGGTGCGCGCCTCCCTCGGCGGCGGCCAGGCGGGGCAGATCTAGCAGGCTCTGGTTCACGCGCTTCTGCAGGACCAAGGCGCCCTCCACGGCCCTCAGGCCGCTCTCCCAGTCGTTGCTGTCGGGCTTCCTTACGTCACGGAGGTGCAGGCGGCCCCCGCGCTGGTTCTGCAGGTGCATCAGCCTCTCGGCCTGCTCCGTCTCCCCACCGGACTGGCGCAGGAAGAACTGGGCGAAGCGCTCCAAGGCCACGTCGTCGCGCTCGCAGTAGAAGGCCATGGACAGGTACACGGCGGAGGCGTGCAGCTCCAGGTCGATGTGCCTGTTGACAGCGGCTTCGCAGTCGGGGTCGTAGTTCTGGTGCACCTGCCATGGCAGCGCGGTGGGCATGGCTTACGGCGCCACCGCGAAGGCGAACGGGTGGGGGTGGGGGGTGGGGGTGGAGCGAGGCGCGGCCGGCGGCGGCAGCCTGGGAGCGTCCCCAGGGTTGGTGCTGAGGGTGGCCAGAGGCCAAGTCAGCGGCAGGGGTGGCGGGGACCTGAGGGCGTCCTCAGGGTAGGCTAGCGGGGAGCACTTAGGTGGGCTCCGGGCTGAGGGCAGCTCGCGGATGGGACCGGAAGCGGGGTCCGGTACAGGTCCTGGGTTGAGAGGTTCCGGTCCGGGCCTGCGAGCCGGGTTGGCTGGTGAGCTCTGTGTTTAAGTTCCGTTAGAACCCGGTGAGCAGGACGACTGTGCTGAGCACCTGGCATCTAGTATGTTTTTAATTTTGCAATATCATGTCTATTTTCGAAATACTTGCTCTTGTTCTCCGTTTGATCTCTTCTATTTGTCACTTCTTCTTGTGTTATAAATCCATCATCTTTTAAAATTCTGAGAATATAAATTTGAATTTTTTTTGTAAAGTTCTTTTGTTTCCTGTAACATACATTTCCCCCCAAGAAATAGTTTGGCTTGTTCATCATGATGTTTATTCTCTTCTACTTCCCTCAAATATCTGAAACATATTTGTGCATTCATATTTTCCTAATTAAAGGCATCTTTGATCAGCCTAGGTACTTAGCATGGCTCTGAGCTACAGTTTTGATGTGCATTTCTCTAATGGGCTTCCCTTCAGGGTGGGAGGGCAGAGAGTGTCGGTTAGGGAGTGGTCTCCCTTAGGGTACAGGGCCGGGTGCTTGCAGGTAGGATCGGGACCTCCCCAAATGCCGAAAGCTTGGCACTCCCCTGACATTGGAAGACCTCAGTGGGCCTGTCTCTAAGTAGATGTGTCCTTTTGTTTCGATTACCCTCAGCTGTGCAGGTCCTCAGTTGTTTCAAATTGCTCTAATTTGGGTTTTCTTCCTCTGTCAAGTAATTCACTGTCTTTGGAGTCCAGTTTGGGAAGATTAAAGCAAGTCAAATGCCACTGTGGCTTGGTCCAATGTAAGTATGAATGCGGGAGGGCCACAGCAGGGCAGCGTAAACACATCTGTTGCGCAGAGTAGTTCTTTCACCTCACGGTCCACCAGGGACACCCTGCAATCCGCTGATTTTTATTGAGTCTGTTCTCAAGCTTTCTTTGAGGGTGCTTGGCTTTCTACAACTTCAGGTATTTTAAATTCTCTGGGTTTATCAGTGTGAAAGCTCTCGCGTTTCTGTCTTCCAAGCGTTCCTCACAGTCTCTGGTTTGTTATTTCCTTTCTAGTTTGTGTATGTGTTAATAATAATTTTGTGTCGGCACACCACGATTTAATTATCTTTTCTTACTTTTTAAGAATGCAAATGCTTATTTTTAAAATAGTTAATGCATTCACATGGATCAAAAACCAAGTAGTTCTATTTTGTAGGCAACCAAGGGGGTGTTATGTACTATAATCAGGCAAAGAAAGGGGGATGCCATCGAGTGGGTTCCAGGAAGCTCGGGGATGGGACGGGAAAGGGGGTCCATTGGGCCGTTTGTGGGGAGCATCCTTTACCTTAGGGGGCGGGGCACCAGCTTGTGTTCAGTTTCCATCAGAGCCTGGGTGAGCAGGGCCACCCTGGGCTGAGCATCTGGCATCTGTTGACCTCTTAATTTGGCAATAGTATCTTTTCCCAGGACTTTCTCTTGTTCTCTGATGCTCTCTTAGAGCAGCCTGTTCTCATTTTAAAAACCCATCGTTTTCCTTAAAATTCTGAGAATATGAATTTGGAAATTTGGGTAGCTCTCTGTTTCCTGTATTTTGTGTGTGTATGTATACATATGAATGCATACAGATATATATATGTGTGTGTGTATTTTATATATATATGTGTATACTATATATATATATATATATATATATATTTCCCCTCCAGAAATAGTTCTCTTTGTTCATCATTATACTCTCTTTCCTTAAATATCTAGCAAATATTTGTGCATTCATATTTTCCTAAATAAAGGGCACCTTTGATTAGCCTAGGTAATTAGCATGGAGCTGATCTACACTGTTTACTGTCTATGTTTAATTTTAGGAGTTTTATGGTTTCTGGTCTTATATTTAGATCTTTAATCTATTTTGAGTTTATTTTTGCATGTGGTGTAAGACAGTGATCCAGTTTCATTCTGTTGCTCATAGTTGTCCAGTTTCCCCCAATACGATTTGTGAAGAGACTGTATTTTCCCCATTTATATCCTTGCCTCTTTTGTCATATTTTAATTGACCATATAAGTAGGGTTTATTTCAGGGCTCTCTATTCTGTTCCATTGATCTATGTACATATTTTTGTGCCAGCATCATGCTGTTTTTATTGCTATGCCTTTGTACCATAGTTTGAAATCAGGGAGAGGCCTATATTTTTAAATGTTTTTCATAAATATAAATGCAACTGTTTTGAGTTAAACACCTGCATGATTTCTTTGAACAACTTATTAGAATATTGTCCTAATGAGATTGTTTCATTAACTATAGTGCTTTTGTGGTCGCATTGCTAGTATTTGATGCCACCCAGTTTTATTTGGGTGGCACCTGTACTCAGTGACTTCAGCATCCATACTAATGACACTCTAATAGTCTCCTCAGTCAGTTCCTGGACTTCACTGACTCTGGTGACCTTCATTTTCTCTTTCTGTTCACGATCAAGTTCACACTTCTCTGCCAGCAGAGCATCACCTCCAGAGTCTCAGTAAATCTTTCCACCTCTCCATCTTTGACTCTTTTTGAACTTGTTCTTCTCTTTTATTGCAGTCTTTCAACACAGTCCCAGAAACATTTCTTCTGCCCTACCTGGACCCCAAAATGGACATTTTCAGTGATCTCCACACTGACATCTTGGATTTGCTCTCCCCTTTCACCTGGCTTTCCAATTTCCTTCCCCTTGCTAGCCACAGACTTCTCTTTTCTCTGGCAGAAAACAAAAAGTTTAGGTGCATTTCTTAGAGAAAGCACTGCCAGTGTATTCATCCCCTCCAACCTCATTTGTACTTTTACTGCCACTCATCACACCTTTTTTGTGTTTTAATCCCTCAGTTATGTTGTATGCAATGAGCCACAGTGGTAGGGAATATCACTGGTCTCAAACAGTTCATTAATTAATTCAGTAAATATTTATTAATGATGTATTATGACCCAAGCCCTGGTCTAGGATTTGGGCGCACATTAGTAACAAAGGGACACAAAGTGTCTGTTCCCACAGGGTTTGTATTCTAGTGGAGACACACACCAAAAAAACCCCAAAATTGCCCTTTTTCTCCCTTGTTTCAAGTAAATAGGTACAAGATATTATGCATGTATATGGAAATAAAGACAAAATATGTTCTTAGAATTCAAGGCTATTATAGTGGAAGACATAAAACGACCAATCTGGGTCTTAATTCATTTATCCGTGCATTAATTCCACAACCATTTATGTACTCCAAATACATGTCCAACACTGTGTTTGATTCTGGAGCTATACAGAGGAGTCAAACATAGTCTTGTTCTCAAGGTACCAGACAGAATGACCGAATGTTATAAGTGTTTCCACGTCAAGTTAGGATAAAATGCCTATTTCCATGTAAAGTTTTAATCCCATGGCTTTGATCAATGCACCTTTTTTGGGGGGTCTATTTCTCTTTTGGAAGCTTATGCTATTTTAAAATCAGTGTTTATGAAGAAAGCAAAGGATTAAATATCAAATGGCACAATGTCAACTTAGCAGTCTTAGAGGCATTTAATTGTTGATTCTGTGAAGAAATGGAGTCATAACCACGTCTATTTGATGTGTTGATTTTAATGATAGAATCATACACTAGAGATGGAAAAGAGCTACATGATCAATTCTCAGTGAGATAAAATTTTATTTTATATTTGCCTAACACAAGTGCTTAGTCTTAATATCATTGTAGACTTTCCAATTTTCCTCGGATGGTTCCATTGTAGACTTCACCGTAAGACTGTTTAAATACGAGAGGTCTTGATTTTATAGAATATTTTCTAATTATATTCACAAAATCGTCCAATAATTAATTGATCCCTACAATTTTACTCTGCAAATACTTAAAATAATAACACTATTGAATGGTTGGTTATGTGTGTACTAAGGGGTGATCATAGTGTTTGTTAGATATTTCATCCCTCATCATTACCTCCTAAGGAAGAAGGTAATGGTAAAATATATAGTATAAGTAGGATGAACCTACGACTTAAAAACCAACTTTTCTGAGGGAAAATCAACAAACAAGCATGGGCTGGAACCTCAGATTTCCATGAAGGAAATGTACATATCTATTAAACGAATTCCATCCAGTTTTTCTTTAATGAGGAATATGAAACTAAATGCTAACTTCAAATGAGAAAACTTCAGAGAAGATTTTTTAAAAATTCGATTATAGGACCATAAAAGGTAAATGTTTGTGTTCAGTATTTGTACTAGGGTTCTCCAGAGAAACAGAACCAATAAGGGAGAGAGAAAGCAGGAAGGAGAAAGAGATTTATTATAATAAATGGGCTCATGTAATTATCAAGGCTGACAAGTCCCAGGATTTGCAGTTGGGCAACTGGAGATGCCAGAGAGCCAGAGGTTTAGGTCTAGTTCAAAGGCCATCAGGCTTGAGACCCAGAAGAAGCTGGTGTTTCAGTTTCAGTCTGAAGGTAAGAAAAAAACAATGTCTCAGATCCAAGCCTGTCAGGCAGGAGGAGTTCCCTCTTACTCACGGGAAGGAAGCCTTCAGCTGATTGGATGAGGCTCAACACATTAAGGAAGGACATCTGCTTTAGTTAGGCTACTAATTCATTCTTTTAAGGCAAGATTTTTTCCATTTTTATTGGGATGTAATTGGCATTTGACACTGCATAAGTTCGAGGTGTACAACATAGGGATTTGATATATGTGTATATTGCCAAATGATTAGCAGAGTAAGTTAACATTAGTCATCTCTCATAGTTAAAATTTTTCTCTCTCTTCATAATAGCTTTTAAACCTACTGTCTTAGGAACTTTCAAATATGTAATGTGTTGTTAACTGTAGTCCTTATATTATACATTACATTACCGGAATTTGTCCTACAACTGGACATATTTACCCTTTGACCATATTTACCCATCCCCCACCCCCACCCCCACCCCACCCTTCCACTTCTGGCAACCGCCAATCTGTTCTCTGTATCTGTGAGTTTGGGTTTTTTAGATTGCATTTATAATGACATCATACAG